TCTTAAGCAAATACCCAGCCCGCATAATAGGCAGTGCTAATTAAAGTCAAAGTATTATATTATAGCCACATTTACAACAACATCTGGACCAGGCTGCAACCAGCTGTGTGTAGGTGCCTCCCCTAAGGAGTGTAATGTCAAACCTTGGAAGTTTAGTAACCTCTACAGGCATCTGTACGATCATTCAATGAAGGAACACAGAGATATTCATGGCCGAAGAAATCAACATGAATGTTGGAAATGAGGAGGCCATATGCCGGAAAATTTAGAAGCGACCTGTTCAGACTGGAATCTGATATGGGCCGCATTTAAGAAGTAATGTGAACAGACAAACAAAAAAAATCTGATCTGAGCAATAAATCAGAATTGAGTGTTAAGGCTGAAAAGGCTGTGAACTTATCCTTAGACAACAGCTCTGCAGCACTACACTACTTCATTATAATTAGTGGTCAACTGATATGGGTTTGCAATGGCCGATGCCACTGTCAGTCCATCAATTGACGATTGCCAATATATTCACCCATGCCTGTGTGCTGCTCTAGCACCCCCTCAACCCCTCCCTTTACCACCCCAGTAGTTTCAGCTGTAAAATGAGTGGTGAGTTTGATACGGGGAATAAGCTCATGAATGATTTTCCTCATAAAAGTAAAACTACAACTGTACATCTTCTAAATTCAGGTTTGTGTCTTATACCAAATTAGGACAGAAACAGAAACAAAATAATACTCACTGAACCCTCTTTATTAGTCTTCCAACAATCACCAACTCTGGACTAACCATAACACTTGTAAATAAATATTCTGGCTCTACATGCTGTGTACATGCCTCTCGAAAGTGTGTGTGTACACCGTCCCTGGAGCTGTAACTGTATTACCTGTTGTCAAACTAGCGGAAATCAACTAACTAATAAACTTTTAGATTAGGTTTGCTGTAGGATAAGAAAAGTGTGAACATTTAGAAAAGAGGATGGTGAAATTTAGGCAAACATTTAGAGCAGGATGCAGGAGTTATAGAACAGGGCTGGAAACTAACTTTTTCACTGCCAAAAACTCACAAAAGGGAGAGCTAACTTGTGAGTGCAGGTATCGGCCGGCCGAATAATTGGCCTATCTATAATTATAATGCTGTTTTGTTTTAAAAAGAATTTCACTAGTTACATCTGGCGAGACAAATCAAACCTTATGATCGGCCAACTTTGGGTGGCCATGATTTATATCTATTACCACAGACGCACACACTGTTGGATTTAAATTTGAAGTCAGTCAGTAAATACAGACATTCAGAGATGTAACCTGCTCTGGGGCAAATACACTGACACACACACTGAATAGATTGGTAATGGATCTTCTCCAGCAGCCAAAACACATGGAGCTGGATCTTGTACCTCTGTACATTGGCTGTTAGTGGTAAACCCAGTTTATCTATGCTGTCTAACCTTATGACCCCATTGTTTTTGTCTGCAGGCAGTGCAGGAGTCCGATTTGCCCACACAGACATTAGGGTACCAGACTTCTCAGACTACAGGCGCCCAGAGGTGCTCGACCCCAACAAGTCCTCCCAGGAGAGCAGTGAATCCAGAAGAACCTTCTCGTACCTGGTCACTGGTGCCACAACCGTGGTGGGCGTCTACGCTGCCAAGACGGTGGTCACTCAGTTTGTTTCTTCCATGAGCGCCTCAGCTGACGTCCTGGCCTTGTCCAAGATTGAAATCAAGCTGGCTGACATCCCTGAAGGCAAGAACATGACTTTTAAGTGGAGAGGTAAACCGCTGTTTGTCCGTCACCGCACAGAGAAGGAGATCGCCGCAGAGGCCGAAGTGAACCTGGCAGAGCTGCGTGACCCTGAGCACGACAAGGACCGGGTCATCAACCCCAGCTGGGTCATCGTCCTTGGGGTGTGCACGCATCTGGGCTGTGTGCCCATCGCCAACGCAGGTGACTTCGGAGGTTACTACTGCCCCTGCCACGGCTCACACTACGACGCCTCAGGCCGCATTAGAAAAGGCCCCGCCCCCCTCAATCTGGAGGTTCCCTATTACGAGTTTCAAGATGATGACACTGTGGTTGTTGGATAAATAACACTCCTCTGACTGAGCTCTCATTTTACAGGGTGACAGATGCGTGGTGTTGTCGTCGATACAGTGAGGAAGTGTTTAGGTATAATTCTGTATTCATATTCTGCCAACTGGGGAAAAACTATCAATTTCAACTGGTATATATGGAAATGTTTTGTTCTCGGCAGTCTCTCACTCACTGTCACAATTTTCCAAAACATGACAGCAAATCTGTCAATATTGGTAGTCCTCTTTACCTGTTGTATTTCAAGTAATGCAGTCACTGAACAGAATGAAAGCAAGCAGGAGCTGTCATTTCCTTTTAACTAAGTCAGTTTGAAAATGGCGTTGAAGTTAAATAGGTGAACCCTCTTAAGATGTCATCCTTTCGATGTGAACATAACATAACGCCTGCTTATGTTTAAGTTATAGTCTCTCATTGGCAAAGAACCAACATTGTGTTCAGTTCTAGTAATAAAGATTTATATTTTATCTGACAACCTCTGTGTCTTTACTTATTCCTCACTTTCTGCCTGTCACCAGTATGTAGCATCACATGTATGTAGCAGTTGTACAGGTACATTTGACTCATCTTGTGATCTGAGGACATGAACTGTTTTATTTGAAGTCCTGTTGCCGTGCAGCAGCCATGTATCTAATGCTGCAGAGGTTGTGTATCACTCAAAACAGGTGTAGAAAGTATTGAGTTCAGAACTGAAGCTGTATGAGCCTGGGCTTGCCGCGTGACTGGTTGTGTCAGACAAAGGGGTCAATAGAGGTGCTGCAAATGGCCAGTGTAAGAAAATGAACTGTTGAACATTGAGGCAATAAAATTACCACAACATAATCTCTTTAATACTTGCAGTTCTGGCTGGTGGCTGCAAGAGTGAGAACATAAATATAGAATAATAAACAATAATTTGACAAAAATTAAAATAATTTGACCTCACACCATTAGCAGCTGCTAAGTTATTAATCTAAAGAAAGCGATACAAAAAAGCTATGATTGTATTTGTTGGGCTTGGGTTTTTGCTGATATGCAAATTAGGACAAAGTTAATGAGACCAATAACTACAATTTAATTATTAAAAAAATAATACTGTGACATTGAAATATTACTCAACTACAAGTAAAACTACAGGTGTTAAAAATGACTTAAGTAAAAGTAGAAAAACTACTCATACCATTGATGTTAATGCATTATCAATAGCAGGCATTCAGTGGAAAGGGGAGATCCATCTAGAAAATACCTACTTTCAACAAAGCACATTTCTTTGATAAATGATAAAAGGTATAAATGGATATACAGATAAAGCAGGAATTTTGTTTGTTAACATACTGCTGTAATTAATGTTACATGTTGCATTCATTCAGTTCGCATCAGAGCATGTATTGAAGCACTCAGCTGTGGCTCAGAGGTAGAGCGGGTAAACCACTAATTGGAAGGTTGGCTGTTTGATTCCTGGCTGTTTGATTCCTGACTCCTCTCGCTGCATATCAAAGTGTTCTTGAGCAAGATACTGAACCCCAAATTGCTCCCTATGCTATGACTGTGTAAATGCTTAGTTTCCGTTCTGGTGTGTGTGAATGTGGTGAGGCATGTATTACAGCGCATTGAGTGGTTGAAAGACTGGAAAGACGATATATAAGTACAGTTCATTTACCATTTACAGTCATTATGGAGGTTTATTGTATGTCAAAATTTGTTACTCAGGTCTATCTAAGGTAAACTAAACTTTGTATGCTCTGTCAGTCTTTTCTTTGAGCCGCACTTTCCCCCTCACACCAAATATAACACAGCATCAAGTCACCAGCTCAAAATAAAACCTCTGCATGTCCTTTTTTTTCTTTTAACACTGTCTCTGTGAAGTAGCTGAAATAAAGCCACTGGATGATGTCTAGCCTAGATGCGCTATAAAAACAGAAGGACACTGAATAACATAATTTGTCACAATCGTCAAAAGTAATTATTGTTTGCTAGCAAACAACGTTTCACTTAGTACTTATTAAACGGGCAACAACTTTCCTCTTCCACACATCAGTAGTCAATAAGTCTGCAGCTTTTTCTGTGAATTCTGTTAAAATGTACATTACATTTAACCTAGCTACAGAGAATTTGATTGAAAGTTTCTCTCACACTGAGTGTGACAGCGTAGGAAGTACTAGGAAAAGATATCTAGGGGAATTAATTACCACTCAGCCTTGTGGTTGTACTAGCTACTAACAGATAACAACATGCACTGAATGCCTTTGGTTTCCAACAAAAAAAGATGCAGACATTAACTGAACCCAGCTGAGCTCAACTCACTTTCTGTAATCACTCCATAGTTGCTTAGTATACTGTATTGTGTGTTAGATAGATATATACATGTAGATATCCCTTCCCCAAGACGACAAATGTTGTTGTCGTTCAGTCGGTAACATCGACGGACAACAGTTTAGAAAAAATGACATATTAGAAGCAAGCATTGATGATCCATTTACATTCAGGTGGATTGCGTCACATTTGTAGAAGGTTGGTTCTATAAACTGCTCTGGCAGAGATATGCAATAATATTCTAGTCAGTCATTCAGGAAAATTAACTGCAAGAATCTTTTGCAGCCCCAGTTGAATGAGGGCAGAGAACCAGAAATTAAAATGTCTTTACTTTTCTCAACAAGAGTAGAAATGAGCTCTTTACAATCCATGTTAAGCTTTTCAGTGTTTTACTACTTGGCCATTGAAATATTCAGAATCAATTGATATTTAGATTGTAACTCAGAACAGCTTCATCATAGAATCAAAATTAATTCATGATGAGAATGTCTCATACAATAACTGTGTAACTGTGTAACTGTGTGCTCCATACTACTTCTTCCAATCAGGGCTCTTTCGGACTTTCACATACTTGAGTGTGTGACGGTTGCGTTGAGACC